GCTGTGGCTCAAGTGGTAGAGCGCTAGCCTTGAGCTGAAGAGCTGAGGGACAGCGCCAGGCCCAGAGTTCAGGCCCCATGACCCCCCCAAAAAAACAACAAAAAACCCCATATTTCTGTAGCAAAGATTTGCCACTTTCCTATAACTATTCCCACCTAGTTAATGTGCTTATTACATAAGAAAGTATAGAAAATACTTGGAAATTATAATTTCATGAAAGGAAGTCCTAGAAGAACGATAATTGGAAAGCAAAATATGGGTATTAGGAAAGGCCTGAAAAGTGTTGCTTCCCAAATTTGGTTTTTCCTTTCTTCTCTCACTGAGACGAGCCCATTTATTTGTAGAGATGTTGTAATACTTTCAAAAGTAATTTTAATTTTTAACATAATTGAATTGGACAATGTACCATGTAGAAAGCTGAATAAGAAAAAGAAAAGAGATTTTGTAAAATTAGGAGGCAAAAAACCCTTACATTTTTGAAATAGCCATCACTCACTGAATAAACTTGTAGCTTTAGATTCCAAGGTTGATGAATGTGGGGATGTCAAAAACTGTTACAAATGGATACTATTAACATTGTGATCACTTCTATCAACATCTGGATACAGTTAGCTAGCCCTCTCCTGACATGCTAAGTGAAGAGTGAAAACCTTAACTAACTAAAACGAAATCAGATTGTTTTCTATGCTGTTTTAATGAAGAAAAACACAAATAAGCACCCCTTGGTTAAATATGAAGAACAAGACTACCTTTCAGTGAGGCACTGGAGGCTCATGCCTGTAATTTTAGCTGAGGCTGAGATATGAGGAAGGTAGTTTGAAGCCAGCCTGGGCAGGAAAACCCATGAGAGTCGTATCTCCTATTAACCAACAAAAAACTTTAAGTGAAGCTGTGGCTTTACTGGTAGACCACTAGATACAAAAGCTTAGGGACAGCACTCAAACCCTGAGTTCAGATCCCAGTACCGACCAATGGACACACACACATACACACACACATTCACACATACACACTTTCAGGTTGTTAAGTTGTAGGTAGGTAAATCCTTAACCACCTTATCTCTGTGCAGTCTAGAGCCATGATTTAAGGTGGTTCTGATGATGACTGAGGTGTCAACATCATCTTCTGAAACATTAATTTGTTCATCGTGTTGGCGAAAGGGTGATAGTGCATTTTAGAAATAAGTTCTGATGGTAATTGATACACAAGAAAAAAATTTAACTCTTAGCCAGAAAATGAGTTAAACATAACACCTACTTAAGAACATAATTGAATGTTTACTGTAAAGAGAAAAGTGTTTGTAGTGCTCATATAACTATACTATTACAGAATTCTGTGGTATTCCATTGCTTGTCATATTGAATATATTGGATAAGATAAAATATGTAGAAGGCTGGGAAGGTGGCTCAGTGGTAGAGCACTTGCCTTGCATGCATGAGGCCCTGGGTTTGATTCCTCAGCACCACATAAGCAAAAAGAAAAAAGCCGG